TTTGAAGGAAAGAATTACAAAGCATCTGACCATAACAGGGAGGCATGAGGATGTGGCACAGCTCCAGCGTGAAAGCTCGGCCCGACTTGTCTCCCAGTGTTTCCTTCATCAACCCATATACCGTCGATTGGTGACCAGAAAGTTGTAGCCGTATTGTTTGTTTTCCCCTCGATTTTCGATACCGCTCCTCTCCCTTCACTGAGAGCACTAAGTACACCCTCTAAGGGGGTGAAGGAGTCCTCGCCACCCTTTCCCCCGGTGAGCATCTGTGACACAGCACGGAGATTTTCCTGTAGCGGAAACAGGAGCCGGGGATCCGCCGCTATACGACGCAGGAGCCTGATTATGTTTTTGGGTTGCGTCACGACGTAGCTCTCTGGAAGCTTGATCGTGAACAGTGACCAGTCGAGCAAGGACTCAAACGGGAATACTATAGCGTTGGACAGGACCTGCGACTGACGAAGTAGGCTGGAGTTTGGTATTCAAGAGAGCCTCACAACGGGGATGCAACCCGAGATAATAGCATCGAAGATTCGTCTCGTCCATGGGGTATTGCCGCGAGGTATAAAGCAGAATGTCGAGTCTTTCATTTCAGCATCATAAGTCGGGGAGAATGCAGCAACGAGCACGTCCGCTGCCCTGAGCCACAGAAGCATTCGCATCGATTGTGTGAGCATGGAAATAGTTCGATGACTACAATTTCTTGAGAGATGCATGCTGCGAGTCACCAGTGTTGAGAACCTCTATAGGAGCGAGTTGTAGTGTTGAGCGTTACAAATGAACGGTGACATTCGTCTTCGCTTTTCATCAGGCAGTGATGATGATGACCTACGCTCCTCCCAAATTGTCGAACAGAGCCTCTCTCAAGACATTCTGACGGCGGACTTCATGTCCCTCGGCGTCACGGAGGTGTAAATCGGTCGAACCCCGGAACAAGGCCAAGAGGTTTCTGTGATAGCCATGATGAGGTGTCCTCATCTTCGGCGTAGCCGGTATTATTATATCTTTGCTGGCATTATAGAAACCACCGAGCTGATCACCTGATGGCCTATGATTGGTACGAAGCTGAGGAGATTTCAATGACCTTCGGCCAGGAGTAGAACTACGTCTTCACCACTTATGATATCACTCCAATTGGGTCCGAGCATAGTAGGGCCCACTCCTGATGCGAATATCCAAACCTGATGTACTCACTCGTGTATAGACAAACAGCTAGGCATCAATCGTGACCTGTTTCCTCGACGGACAAGCCTCGAAAAAAACTGGGTCGTCTCGGATGAAGTGTACGACCTAACGAGATGTGCCTGAGATGGCGGTCGTGAAGAGAAGCCGCGATCGTTGGCACCTTCAATGCCGCTGTTGCCATTTTATCAAGACGGTACCCGGCAACTTGGTTGAACCAACACTTGGTCATGAACGGTACCAGACACCAATCAGCGTCACTCGAGTCTCGCAATACACGTCTTATGTCTCTCGGGAACTGAACTAGGGGATGATGAGATGTTCATCACGATAATTCAACCTTGTATTCATTGCTCCATTGCCATTCGGCGCATTCAGGGTACTTCTGGACGAGCCTCTCGGGATCAAACTCAGCGGGGAGGTCCACGACACGAATTGCCGCTCGATGGGCATTGCTCTTGACCCGCTTTATCAGACTCTGTATTTCACTCGATGATATCGTGCGTACAGACTCGACCACTGAGCTAGAGGTGGCACTAACCTCACCATCACGAGAACCAGGAGAAACCACTGAAATGTGTTCAGAGACGCCAACGTCGAGTGACGAGAAAAAGATACCAGGTTGTGATAATGAACATAATAATACTGCAGATACGATCATGACAAGGAGTGTCCTTACCGAACATACCTGCACGTTGAGCTGAGACTACGCAAAATGCTGCCATAGTCACCTTCTCACGAAGGGTCCACACTGCCCAATGGTGAACTCTCTCGCGCTGTCTGTTGCGATGCCGTCCTCTAAAACCGGACATTGTATATGATATTCTATGAGACTGGAATCCGCTTACCCTCTTGGACAAGACTGATACTAATAACTATCAACACAAGACACAGATATGCCGGCGGAGTACAAAGCCTTCGAAGTGTAGACCTTTCAACCATAAGCAGCAATCGTTACTGTAATGATCGCTACTCTGTGCTTAGTCATCAGCATGAACACCACCACGACCAGAGGTCTTGGTGTGCTGGCCACGGACTCTGATGCCCCAGTAGTGACGGAGACCTCTGTGGAGACGCATCTTCTTCATACGCTCCAAATCCTCACGCTTGGAAGCATCCAAAAGATTGGAGTACTTCTGAGAGTAAGTACCATCGACGGGATCATGCTGTCTATTGAGGAACCACTGAGGGATACGGAACTGTTGAGGGTTGGAGATGACCTGAGCAACAGCGGGGTGGCAACGGAACTCATCCGGGCTGCTCGTGTAACTGACCTGAACGATCTTCTGGATCTCCTCCTGAGTGAGCTCGCCAGCACGCTTGTTGGTGTCGACCTCACACTTCTTGCAGATGAGAGTGGCGAAACGACGGCCAATACCCTACATAACAACAATAGTCATCGCGATTCAAGGTCGCAGTAGTAAAACACATTAGAACACACCGACCGATACAATACAACGCGATTGGTACACAGTGTTTCAAATAAGCGAAGTCGACCCGTAAGAGTCAACAGCAAGGATAGAAGCAAGCGGGGTTGTATTATCCAATCCCGAATAGCACCTTGATAGCGGTCAAAGCGTAAGCAACCTTGACACGTCCATCGACGTTAGTGTTGCAAATACGCTGGATATGCTGGAAGTCGCCCTGGTTAATAGGGAGAGACATCTTCGACAGGCTGTGACTACGGAGACCACCGTGCTGCGGCCAGTGTATAGCTCACTCCATTCAAATCGATTAGAAAGGCGAGCGAGAAGCGCATTTTGTTTTGATTTGATAGGAATTAACATCTCGTACAATGCATATCATTTCAATGATATTACTCTACCCCACGGTCTGCCGCTAGCCACAGTATTAACCTTCAATTGGGGCTTTTCCACGCTTCCTCGAGCAAGGAAGGAAGGCTTATTCCCTTGATGTGGGCCGATCTGCTCCGTTCTTACACTGGTGAGAGTTTCGTCATCTTATGATGAGCTATTCGAATAAGAGTATTAGAGAGTGCGGCGAATGTAACCCGTCTGTGTGTAGCGGGAATCAGATAGAGTCTCAGACCTCTACGTATCCACGGAAATCGTAGTGGGTGTTCTGACCTGCTCCACGGTAGACTCACTACTCGGCAGAATCAGATGATGAAGGGTCCACTTATCCTCTCCATTATGGCTAGCATACTCCAGTAGTATTAAAGGTAACAGACATTAAAGAGTCTACGCTAAAGCGGGGCTATCAAAAAGAGGCCACTCACGGCTCCATGGTCAGTAGTGTTCATCCCCACATTGAAACTTCTACCATCCCGCGAGCGAGATCTTACCTAAACGAAGCTGTATCAGCAACGGCGAGTCATTTTTGGTCTTGCAATTTCTTTCGGATATCACACTCATAAGGAGAGTGCCCTTTTTATAGCAGTACAGAGGACGTTACTAACGTTGCCTTTCATATCATCACCCTTCCATCAACAAGATCATCGAAGTTCAAGAGTTCGACTACTTGGTGTAGAGGCCACGGAACTTTGGATGGGTCATTCCATACGTTAACGAAGTCTATGGGCTTTTGCGTTTTAGTCTTCCCGTGGGGGAACACCACAACTCTCCCGAACGGTTCAAGCTAGGTATTAGGTAATTGTGCTAGGCCCACGATTACGACAGAATGCAGGAAGGGAACTTGCAGAGCTCTCATCGTCTTCATACTGGGCATATCCATAGTGAATCGACTGCACCGTTCAGGGCTTCACCATGACTCGACATTTTGGTTATCACCCGAAACGGAGGTCCGAATTCGGGGATTTGAAATCTCCACGTCGCTAAACCGAGTTCCTCGTTCGCTAATATAACGAT